CGCAAGGACTGTTGTTGAGAGGTCTGGTGGTGGGGTTGGCACTATTCACATGCCATTAATTATTAGGACTTTATTTCATTATTACTAGCTAGAAAAAAGAGAAAGAGAGTGGACCTTCTTCTCTACTTTGGTTTTAAACGAAAGCAATATGAAAAAAATGGGTTCATAATGTTTGAGGATTTCATTTTTCCATCTTTTTAATTTGTATGGTCAAAAAACTTTAAAAAGAAAATGATATTCAATACTTTAAGTACGATTATAAAGAAAAAGGTATCGTTTGTGAAGAAGGTTCTTCCATTTTCAATCACAGTCTTGATCCCTCTTCCTTCTATTATTGTCACCTAATCCTTGGTAACTTTCACTAAGCACTATACTTTCGAAAGCAATGGCAAAGTTTAAAGAAAAGAAAAAGAAGTGCCTTTGGATGCCACAACGACATTCTAATGATCTACTCAAAAAGTTAATATCTGATAATGCTGATTGCAGCGGCATGCACACAGTTGAAAATATTAGCCACAATGACTACATAGATTTTATATGTAGTGGTGTTGCTTAAGTTAACCATATACAGTCTGCATTGTGCTATAGTTTACAGCTTAATGATTGAGATCCTAGGTTCAAAAGGACATCTAATGATACATTTAGAAGTTTGATGCTACATTATTTATTCTATGGAAACAAAGGGTTTCCTCTCCATCCCATGTATTTTAATCTGCGAGTTTGCATGTTAGATGGGAAATTGGTTGAAAATTGAAAATCTCTTGGTCTGAATGGCCCCATACGTAAATGGGGACAGCTAGAAAGCACATTAACACAATTAATAGTCAAAGGTGAATTGAATTTATGATGTAGGAGTCCATGAAGTGTCAATTTAGCCCAGCTATTAGAAATCTCTTCCTTGAATGAATTTAAAGATCCACCAAACATAGTTTTTTTTTTTTTTTTTAAGTGGTACTTTCAGCTTCAAACGGATACAAATTGGAGTTCTAATTAAATTTGTTGCTTCTTGAATAATTTTTTTAAAATATTATTAATCTGAATTTAATTTAATAATTTTTATTAATTAAAATTTTTTAATAATTATTTTATATAAATACAGGCATTATTTAGCTCTACAATTTGACCGAACTAACTAGAAATTGAAGTACATTTGTGCCCCATGTGTTGCCCTCTTTTATTCCCCTTGCATGTGTTGTCTTGTCTCCTTTAATTGAAGTTCTACCTACTTTCATGAATGCAGTAACCTCTGTTTTATTTTGTTCATCTTTATTAGTAAAAAGTCACATGGATTTAAACATGAGAAAGATAAAGATGGCCCAATAAATCAAGAAAGCTAGTTTATTTGGATGTTGGAACAGAAGGACAGGAGAGGCCAAAGAGGGCCAGACGAAAACTTTGATAAAGTGACCCAAAATTAATATAACTTGGTAAAATATCAACAGCTAAATATGGCCCAATTTTTTTCTTTTTCTAATTTGGCCCATTTTTTTGGTCCCATATGATGTCTGCATAGACCCAAATAGGAGCTTAGGATTAAAAAAACAAAAAAAGGAGGTGATATCCAAGTTAAAAAATTGGTACTGAAAAAAAAAGAAGAAGAAATCTACAATATAACAGCCTAATAGGGCCGAGGTTATTGCCTCCATAACTTTTGTTAAATAGTTAAAGTTATTAATTTCAATGTAATTTTATTAGTTTTATAATTTTTAAAAATAATTAGTTAAAAAATATTTATTTCTAAATTAATTATAATATGTTAAATGAAAAATATTAATTATTTTATTAATTATTAATTACTTTTAATAATAAAATAAAATAAAATAAAATAAATTTTTAATAATTTTTAATGATCTTAACAAATTTAATAGTTATCATAACTATAATCCCTTAACAGATGGTCTTATACAACTAGAACCCTAGCTAGGATTAGGAGTAGAGCTTAATAGACTTGCCCCTCTTGTTATTCAAAGTCTTGAAAATGCACGATCTAATTCTATTGGTTTTGGTCACATACATTCCAAAATATAGATACCTAAATCAAATAGATGATCTGCTTCGAAATGACCTCTAATTTTCCTAGGAACTACATGCATGAGTTGAAGTCCATTGAGATCCACATCCATAGCAAAATTCAAATCCACACATGCATAAAAAGCCAAATATATATCATGGAAATTAATAGAAATACAAAATAGCGAACACACCTACACAAAACAAAGAAATGTGCATTATCTATCGGACAAACAAAGACAGACCTGCATGAAATGTGCGAACATTCAGAGACCTTTTCCACATAAATTCTGCAGCTGGGACATCTATCCCATTTCTTGTTCTTGGCAAGTTCCATAAACATCAGATCCTCTTTAGTCCTCTCATTACTGGGCAGCATCTGAAACTCCCAGCACTTAATTCTGGCATGCTAAGCAACTCTACACAGTGCACAGAACACCCCGGCAATTAGGACACTCTACTTTGGTCACCTTCTCCCCTACATCATCAACCAACAAAGCCGAACAATCCTTGAAAGGACAATAAAATTTTGTGACCCCAAGACCAGGCTTTGCAAAGAGCATTTCCCCATCCGTCAAACACTTCTTTTGAGATACTTGGTCCACAACAATGTGCTTCCAACAGCCCTTTACCATCCAATTCAGGGCATTTCACCGTTGAAATGTTGTCCTATATTTTTGTTGCAATGTATTTGCCAATGTAGTCATTGTAGAAAATGTGGCTGCATGTGTTAATTCTAAACCTCTCTTCTTCGCCAGGTTTTGCATCCAAGCAGATTAGGCAAAAGCTAAGGCACTAGGAAGAATTGGATGATTGACCATTTCTTTCTCCTTACCTTTGAGGGGTTTTGAGGGGGCAGAGGAGGAATAATGACGATAATGTTCTTCAGTTTTTGTACGTACAATACTTTGGACTCGAGAAGCAGTTGCTGCAAACATTAAAGCTTCCTGAAGCTGCAATTCATGGGCATATTTCTCATCTGATATTGGAAATATCTCTTCATCATTGTAGTTGCAAAGAATTTCGAGGTACTCCTGAGCTTGACTCTCCACTTCTACTAACCTGCAAAGCCTCGAGGTTGGTCCTCGAGCTAGACACTCCGATTCCTAAATCAGCAATAATCAGAGCTACCAGGTATGGATCAAGAGTTGAGCTTGAGTTCAGTTTCAATTACCTTTTGGGGAGGACCCTTGGGGGGTATTTATAGCCTTCAAAGAGGCATCCACGTGTTGTTATTCATGGGCAATCAGGATCAGATGTGTCAATGATCGTAGGAAACTCTCTTGAAAGATCTATGTATATACGGAGTTACTGTAGAACAAGAGTAAAGAGGACAAACTCGAACTTGACTAAGCTCATTGTTCCTTGACATCGAGGTGACTAGATTGTTGGGAATAGATCAGGTCGCCCGAGGTACCTGATCTCAAACTACAACGAGGCACATGACCTTGGACTACCACCACTACATTATTCTCCCCTTGAAGTCATTCACTTGTGAATGATAATGATATGAAGGTTTGGATTGGATTTGGGGGTAATTGCTTAAGCCGAAGTGAGAATGTCATAATGAGTGTATAGTGCAGGGCCAAAACTGAAGGATATAAGGGTGAGGTCATGGTGTATGGTCTGTGCCGAAGTGAAAATGTTGACATGAGGTCATGTGAACGGCCGAGGCCAAAGTGGAAATATCTTGACAAGGTCATGCAATGTACGACTGAAGTCGAAGTGACAACATCATGACGCATGGTCATGTGATATACAGTTGGAGCCGAATGACAAATCATGACATTCAGTCATGTAATACGGTTGGAGCTGAAGTGACAATGTCATGACACGTGGTCATGTTGTATGGCCGTCATCGAAGTGACAATGTAATGACACGTGGTCATGTAATGTGGCCAGAGCCGAAACGAATGATCATGACACATGGTCATGTTGTATGGCCAGAGCCAAAGTGACAAGTCATGACATGTGGTCAAGTTGTATGGCTAGAGCCGAAGTGGCAATATCATGACACGTGGTCATGTTGTATGGCTAGAGCCAAAGTGACAATGTTATGATTAAATGCAGATACATATACGTGAAAGCTAGGGGTTGGTTTTGATCTGAACAGGTCTTAGGTATCCAACCAAAAATAAACTGATTATGGGATGACAGATGTCCTCGTGTGACGCACTGTAATAAATGCGCGTAGATGTGAATAACTGTTGAATCCGAAGGGACGTGATCGTGGCTGCTGGATGTGAGTAATCATGATCGTTGAGGTGGGAGTAGGGTTTAGTATAAATAGCCGGATTTTAGTTATTCATAATTTTACCTTACTAAATTCATAGCAGAACCCTGCCGGAATCGAGCTAGAGCTCCTCGTGGTCTGAGATAATAATTGTAGAGTTTGAAGGCAAAGTTGGGATGTGATTGCAGCGTGAATATTTGCGTAAGTGTTTCACTTCAACCATCCATAAGTCAGGTAACTCTAAGCTCTACCTTTGGCTTAAATGGTCTGATTTACTTAAATTTAAGATTAGGTCACAGTTAGGGAAGTTAGATATTCATTAGCAAGTGAGGTAGAAGAAGATAGAAATTATAGGTGATCCTGATTTCTATTTATCATGTATTCCTTGTAGTGAAAATTGTGGTGTAAAACATGTCTTCCGAAGGAACTTTAGGTGTTGGAAGGGAAGGAGAAGTGGGAAGCCTAAGTTCAAGCTCGAGCTTGAGCTTGGGTGTGGGGAATGAAAGTAGGATGTCTGTTAGTGGAGGGAGCGGGGTTTAAGAATATAGTACTATCCCGACAAACATTTTAGAAGTTGATGATCGTCGGGATAAGTGTTATGATGATAGGGAAGAAGTGGTGGGGGAGGTTATAGGGTATAAGTTGTGTTGGAGGAGTAGGGGAGAGTTGGGGTATTTGGTGGAGAATTACGGCATCCCACCTTATGTGCTAGTCAGGCTAGTTGGGAGTGAAGAATGAGTATGTTCAGCCCCAAATGGTCATTGGATGCCTCTGTACGCGCATTATCTAACAGCTGGACTTCGGTTTCCTATCCCCGAACTGCTGATGGCACTACTAAAAGAGTATAGGATTGGGCTGACGTAGCTCGTCCCGAATGGAGTTGGGTTGGTGGTGGGGATTTTAGTTTACTGCCAAATTCGAGGTGTGTCCATCCCCACAGTAGATTGTTTAAGTATTTTTTATAATTAAGGGAGAAAGTGGGAAGGAGAAGGGGTGGTTTTATTTCACACCTCGGGTGGCAAAAGAGTAGGTCCTTCTTCTATTAAGGGGTGGAAGGAGAAGTTCTTCTTTGCTGATGATACGGAGTGGCGGAGATGAGATGGAGAAGTGGAGGAGCTCAGCAGATGGAAAGGGAAGAAGCTAAACCCAAATAAGTACCAGCTGGGGGTGGTGGAGAAGTATAAGGTGGAAAGGCTGGACAAGGTTGGAGGGGAGTTAGTAGACATAATGTCCCTAACCAGTCTAGAGGTGGTGGAGTCATCTAGGATCTATGGGAGGAGCTCGTTGAGCAGAAGTGTGTGTTAACTGGTACAATTCCATTTCGGAAGTTAAGTCTGATTGCAGTTTTAACTTTTTTCTATTTTGCAGAAGAGATGAATCATTTGAGGGGCAGGTGGTAAAGCTATAAGGCTCTTAGAAAAGAAGTCCAAGGCATTAGCTTCGGTCGCCTTGGAGGAAAGAGTAAAGGGTGGGACTTAAAAACCCCACCGAAGTGGAGGAGCTAGAGCTAAAGTGGGGTGCAACTCATAGCCAAGGAGGAGGGCAATTAAGGAAGAAGCTGTAGCTTGGAAAAGATAAAGGCTAGAAGAGGTGTAGGAGCTGTAGTTCGAGGCCCCAGTTGAGTTTGTGCCTCAGCCTTCCCCTGTGCAGATCCACCCATCTTTGTGGGAGGTGGGGGTAGTAACACATGGGAAGGGGAAAAGCTCTGTTCCCTTCCCCAAGCAGACGTCGAGCTTCTATGAGTCCAACAGGACAATTGCCAAGCGATTCAGCAACTCCCACTTCCCTGAAGTAGATTTGTAGAGGGTGAGGGACGAAGTGGCATTGAATGGAGAAGCTGGGGTAGTTTGGCACGCCTTAGAGGTGAGATGCAGTTTTTACTCTCTTTTTGTTTTTTTTTTTTTTTTTTTTTTTTTTTTTTTTTGACTTCTATTCTTTTATAGACTGCAAACTTGGTGAATGGTCTAGTGGTTGAATTCTTCGATTGCCTCAAAGATCACATTACCTTGGGTGGGAAGAATGAAGAACTTAGTCGGCAAAAAGAGACAGCGGAGAAGAACTTTAATGATCTAACCTCGGAGCTCAAGAATGTCAGGGAAGAGTTGGAAATTGCCAAGGCTGCTGCCAAGTTGGAGGAGCAAAAGAGGAGAGAGAGTGAGGAGATCGTGGCCAACAGGATAACGACTTGGCCGAGGTCAAGAAGAAAGCTGAGCTGGCAATCCACAACTCGGTTGAGCAACATGTCTCCGATTTTATCAAGTCCCTAACGTTCTCTGAGGTAGTGGACCTCTACCGCTTGACAACCTTGGTGATGGCCTTCATCTAATTGGCAAAAGAAGGTGAAGGCTCAGAACCTAGAAGTGGACGTGAGTAACATCACGTTCAGACTTGTAAAGGCAGGGGTGGAGGAAAATGGGGATAGTCTGACAGCTGAATTCTGGCCTGAGATAAAGTTGGCTTGGGAATGGGATGAGGTTGGGAGAGTTATCCTTCCACCGAAGTTGGAGTTGGAGTTCGTTGCAGTGGACGAAGAAGTTGAGGTGCCGAAAGAGGTCGAAGTGGCAGACAATGTTCAAACTGAGGAGGTGGATCAACAGCATCAGGTCATGACTGAGCTCGACCAGCTTGTTCTATGTCTTCTTGTTTCTCTCTCTTTGGAATTGTACCCTTTAAGAACATTTGTATTTTGTTTTTGATTTAGTGCATTGAAAATTCAAAAATTAATGTTGTTGATGATTTCGACATAAATGTGTGACTTCTAACCTCGGAACCATAACTTCAAATAATAGACATCAGAATTGAAATAAAATATCTAACTTAATTCCCAAAGTAAAATAGAATATGACGGCAATAGTCAAGTTCTTATCTAATCCGAAGTAGAAGTGAATTTCTAGTTTTGACTTCAGAAATATGATGATATAATTGGGTAAGACCAAGTTGTATTAAGAATAAATTTTTTTAAAATTATTTACATTCCATACTCTAGCTAGTCTCTTACCCTTAGCGTCTTGAAGTACATAAGCGCTAGGGTGAAGTATTTCAGCCACTACATATGGACCTTTCTAGTTCGGTGCTAATTTGCTAAAGCGGGTTTTGAAGTCAATGAGCTCTGCCTTCCTAAGGATGAGGTCACCAATCCTGAAGCTTCGAGATCAAACTCGCTTATTGTAAAAACTGGCAATCTTCTACTTATATGCCATTGTCTGAAATCGAGCTTGCTCATGGACTTCATCCAATAAGTCAAGGTTTTCTCGGAGTAACAGGTCATTTTGTGCTGGGTCGAAATGGCTAACTCTCAAGCTCGGGACACCATGTTCAACAGGAATGACTGCCTTAGTTTCAAAAGCCAAGTGATAGGGCGTTTCGCCTAATTAGAAGAAATTTTTGTTCAAGGGTGTGTTTATCATAATTATTTATGACCTCGAATGAGGAAATTGGAATTAGTGGCATACATGTGGCTGTTCAGCACGTAGTTCAGTAAACCCACAAGATATTGTTGAGCTCATCCACCCACTTACCTTGGAGCTGGTCCAACCTTGACTTGATCCCCTACAAGATAACTTTGTTGACAAACTCAGTCATGCCGTTTGCCTCAGGATGATAAACCAAAGCGATACCAACTTAATCCCATAGTTGAAATAGAAGTCCCTTAATGAGGTACAATTAAACTGAGGCTTGTTGTCAGTGACTATTTGATTCGGTAACTCGTACCTACAGATGACCGAGCTAAACACAAAATCTTCAATCTTTTTCAAGGTCAGACTGGAACGAGGTCTAGTTTCCATCCACTTTGTAAAATAGTCAACCGCCACAACCAAGTGTGTCACTCCCCCCCACGCCTTTGACAAAAAGACAAAGCAGATCTATCTTCTATTAGGTGAAAGGCCACGGTGCAACTAAGTTGGTGAGTTCTTCCTTTGGCTGGTGAGTGAGGTGTGCAAAGAATTGGCATTTCTGGCACCTCTAACCATATTTTTTGTCATCTTCTTGCATATTAGGCCAATAGTATCCCTGTTGGAGTACCTTGTGAGCCAGAGTTTGAGCTCTAATATGACTCCCACATACACTTTCATGCACCTCACGAAGGCATATTCGGCCTCGTAGGGTGTTAAACAACGAAGAAGAGGGAGTGAGTATGACCTTTTGTATAAAGTACCATCAAGCAAGGTGTACCGAGATGCTTTTCTCCGCAACTTCATTTCCTTTTGCTTGTCATTTGGGACAGTTTCATCTTGGAGGTAGGTCTTAATAGGATCTATCTAGCTTGAAGTTTCAAGATCAATATTGACTTCCATCATTTCTGACTTCTGGATTATTGGTTCGTTAAGGACCTCAACATAGAGAGACCTCCCTCTTCTTTAGCTATCAGATGCTAATTTCGACAAAGAGTCTGCATGTTCATTCTCCGTTGTCGAAACTTTGGTGAGTTGGAATCTCTCGAATTGGCATTTAAGTTTGGAAACCACAGCTAAGTATTTGGCTAGAGTAGGATCTATGACCTTACATGTAGAATTCACTTGGTTAACTACAAGTTGTGACTCACTGTAAGCCTGCAAGGATCTGACTTTTAACTCTGTTGCCAAGCGAAGTCCGAGGAGAAGTGCCTCATACTCAGCCATGTTATTTGTTGCTTTAAAATCGAATTTCAGTGCGTGCTCACATCGAAAATTCTCTGGCCCCATTAGCACTGCTTCGGCACTCGATCCCTTTTTGCTTGACGACCCATCGACATAAAAGGCCCATGGTTCAGCCTCAGAATGAACACTCTTGTGACCTGATGTGCAATATACAACCAAGTCTGCCAAGGCTTAGGATCGAATTAATGACCTTTTTTGGAATGTAATTTGAAATTCCCCTAACTCCACTGCCCACTCGATAACTTTACTTGAGCACTCCGGCTTTTGCCAAATGTGTTTCAGTGGTTGATCGGTTAGTACAACAATGGGCTGGGCTTGGAAGTATGGCCTCATCTTCCTTGCTATGGTGACAATTGCCTAGGCTGCCTTTTCTGCAATAAAGTACCTCAGCTCAGCTCATTGTAGCACTTTACTGGTTTAGTACACTGGCCTCTGTTGTTTCCCTACTTCTCTGACTAAGATCGAGCTTATTGTTGCATCGGATACCCCAAGGTAGAGGTAAAGGATCTTACCTTCTTCAGCCTTAATTAATAGAGGTGGTGAACTAAGGTATAACTTGAGTTCATCAAAAGCGGCTCGACACTCTAAAGTCCATTCAAACTTCTTAGGCTTCCCCTCTTTGTCTTTCTGGGCTAGAGACCTCAGGACCTTGAAGAAAGACAGACATTTATCTACCAACTTCAATATGAACCTGTGCAAAGCTCTTACTCTCTTAGCTAATGTTGCAATCTTTGACTGACTTCGGTAGCTTCATCTCTTCTATTGCCTTGATCTTCTTAGGATTGACTTTTATCCCCCTCCTGAAGACCATGAATCTCAGGAATTTGCCAGATTCAACACCAAAGACACGCTTGGCTGGATTCAACCTCATGTTGTGTTTTCTTAGGTTGTCAAATGTTTTTACCAAGTTAGTTAGGTGATCCTCTACCTTGAGACTCTTAACTACTATGTCATTAACGTAGACTTTTAGGTTTCTATCGATCTAAGCTCAGAATACAATTGTCACCATTTTCTGATATGTAGCACCTACGTTCTTAAGCCTAAACGATATCATTACATAGTAGTAGATCTTGTCACCTGCATAAAATGAGGTTTTCACCTCGTCTTCGGGTGCCATGTGAACTTGATGATATCTCGAGTAAGAATCTAAAAGACTAAGCCTTTCATTTTCGGATGCAGCTTCCACCAGCTTATCTATACTTGGCAAAAGATGGTAGTCCTTCAAGCAAACGTCATTTAGATTTGTGTAATCAATGCACATTCTCCATTTGTCATTCGACTTCTTAACTAAAATAGGATTAGTAACCGATTCACAATAGTCTACCCTTCTTACAAACCTTACTTACAAGAGTTTTTGCACTTCTGCTCTAATTGCTTACAGTCTCTCTCTTCCAAACATGCGTCTTTTCTATGCTATGGGCTTGTTCAAAGGATGAGTGCTTAGTTTATGTACTGCGACTGAGGTGGGTATCTCGGGCATACTAGCCAAGGTCTAAGCAAATACATCTCTGTTTGACTTAGAAAGCTAATGAGCTCTTGTCTTTCTTTTGAGTTCAGCTTGGTCCCAATCTGTGTCTTCTTAGTGGGGCCGTTGTCGTCAAGATGTACCTTTTCTACCTCTTCTGTCGAGGTGGCTCTAGCCTTATCCTCAGGTCTGTTATCGGGCAGTTTTACACCAACCAGCTATTGCGTAGTTGGGACTTCAAGCTGAGCTGGCTCTTGAGGGGTTACTTGCTTATCCTTCTGAGGTTGGGTGATCGAAGTTATGTAGCAATGCCTAGCCACCTTTTGGTTGCCTTTCAAAGTCGGTATTCCCATGGGGGTGGGGAATTTCATGTAGAGGTGGGATTGTGAAATGACAACTTGAGTCTCAATCAAAGTTGGTCTTCTGATGATGATGTTAAAAGATGACGCCATCTTCACCACCAAGAACCAAACTGAGGGAGCAACATATGTCCGTCCTGAGTCGAATGCTACATTGAGTTTTAGGACTCCTTCCACAGGGACTGGCTGATTATTGAATCCATAGATAGAGCCATCATACTTCTGTAGGAGGACAGGGTAGAGGCCAAGGCTCTTAAAGCAATGATAGTACATGATATCTAGAGCACTTCCTATGTCGACAAGGATGCGTTGAACTTTGCAATTATTAACAATGACCGATGTGACTAGCGGATCATTGTGTGGCATGACAACACCATCAAAATCAACTAAACTAAAGGTTATAGGTTGGTTCTTCCAATCTGCCTCATCAAATTTCCTCTTTTGAGCTCGATTTTGGTGTTTCACCTTCCTCACATATAGCATTTGTTGTTTTTAGCTCGTCCCTCCAACTTCTAGCCCATCAATTATCATGTGAATGATGTATGAAAGTGGAGGAAGAGGAGGTGATGCTTGCTGATAGTTGACCCCATTTCTATTGCTTGCATCTCGAGAACCTTGAGGTGGTCCCTACTCTCGAATGAACTTGAGCTGGTCCTTGTTTGAGATATAATCATTCAGCATCCCTTTGTGGGCTAAACCCTCAAGTTTGGACTTCAAACTGTTACATTCCTCCGTGGTGTGTCTGTGATCTTGGTGGAAGTCACAATACTTGCTGTGATCTCTAGAGGTAGGTGAACTCCGCATAGGTGGGGGCCTTCGAAGCTCCATTTCGTTCTTTATCTGCATCAGAATTTGTGACCTCGGTAGTGTAAATGTAGTCCAAGTGATCTGTTTTGTCATAGGTTGTGGGGTATTCAGGGTGGGCCTATCAACTTTAGTAGGGAATGGATCTTAGTTCTATGCAGTTTTGAACCTCTTCTTGTTCTATCCTTCATCTTTCCAAGTCAGAGGTTTGACCTCTTTACTTGGTGCGAGCTTGCTGAACAAGGCGTATTCCTCGACCTATATATACTTCCAAGATCTTTCATTGGCTTCATCAAACGTGGCAGGAGGATGCTTTATCAGGCTGTCTCTAAACCTCTCATGCTTGAGGCCTTGAATTATGGCAGCTAATCCAACAACTTAATTAAATGAGCCAATTTCTAGTATAGCATCGTTGAATCTATTCATGTAGTTCTTTAAAGATTCACCTTCCCTCTGGACCACTCGCATGAGCTCGGAGGTCATCTTTCTAATCAGTCATCATCTTGAGAACTTAGTTGCAAAAGATGCCACCAGCTCGGCATACGAATTGATCGAGTTCGACTGCAGACTATAGTACCAAGTTCGAGTGTTTCCACGCAATGTAAAGGGGAATATTTTGCACATCAGGGCATTTGAAGCATTCTAAGCTTGCATAATAGAGCAGAATGCGTGCAATTGGTTATCAAGGTCCTTAGTGCCATCATACGTCTTGAACTGAGGCATTTTAAATCCAGCTAGGTATGGTTCTTGGATGATGTTGGTATTGAGGGGGGTAAAGATAGGGAAAGAGCTGGGCTGAGTCGGAGGTTGAGCATTTCGGTTTTCGGCCATCATTATTTCCAGATTGTCTAACCTCTTGAAAACATCTGAGATAACTGGCTGAGGTGGGTTTGGAGGCGGAGGTGCCATGTGGGAGTGGTCTTAGGACTTGCTCTAAGGTGGGACAATAGTTCGTGCTGGTGAATTGACATTTTGTTAAGGCTAGTGATTGGGTGCATGGTTAGTTGGGTTTAACATGGTGATGAAGGGATCACCTAGGTTGTCTCTGGCTAGTAACTATGTGAGCACAAGCTGGAACATGCCCAACTGTTGTTGCATGGTGTTGAGCTAGGCAGCTATGGCATCATTTGGGACCTCCGTTGGGTGTTGCGGGTTATTCTCTCTAGTCCTTTCCACCTGCTGATGTTGGGCAATCGAAGGTGGTACGGTGTGAGATGTAGGGTTGCCACCTGGGAATAGACCTCTTGCTCGGCCCTGTTGAGGGCTTCCGTGTTGCGTTGAGCGTGTGTTGACCATCGTAGCAGCCACTGACTAGGCTCTTAGTTCTGAATTTCCCACAAACGACGCTAATGTGGTTGCAAAGAATTTCGGGGTACTCTGGAGCTCGACTCTCCACTTCTACTAACCTACAAAACCTTAAGGTTGGTCCTCGGGGTAAACACTCCAATGCCTAAGTCAGCAATAATTAGAGTTACCAGGTATGGATCAAGAGCTAAACTTGAGTTCAGTTTCAATTACCTTTTGGGGAGGACCCTTGGGGGGTATTTATAGTCTTCAAAGGGGCATCCACGTGTTGTTCTTCACGGGCAATCAGGATTATATGTGTCAATGATCGTAGAAAACTCTTTTGAAAGATCTGTGCATGTACGGAGTTACTATAGAATAGGAGCAAAGAGGACAAGCTCAAACTCGACTGAGCTCGCTGTTCCTTGATATCGAGGTGACTAGATTGTTGGGAATAGATCAGGTCGCCTGAGGTACCTAACCTCGGACTACCACCACTACAATCATCAAACAGGGCTGAAAGATAGAAATCATCCACATAGTTAGAGTTTGTTGCTCCCACCATTTTTCTTCTAGGGAAAATTGGAAACTTCACTGAAACAAATTTTGATTGATTTTTATACTTACACTTGTTTAAATGAGGATTTGAAGGTCTAATTTGCATAGTTTTTGTGAATTGCATTAGTAGCGTTACTCGAGAGATGCAACGTTAAAGCATTGGACTGTTAAAAAGACAATTCCCCATGATTCATTCCCTAGGGAAGAGAAAAGGGCTTGACAAACAAAGGAGAAAGATGATCAAAAAGCACACTTTTTTAGAGGATTTTGTTTAATGTGCATTTCAGATGTCAATTTTGAGCTAATTCATTTCCACACAACGTTAATTCCAATTTCCAAACCACTTAGAAGTTTGATCACATCGCGCTATTCTTTTTTCTTTTTTCGATGTTGATTTTCTTACTATAAAATTCTTTAAAAAATGTTATAATGTACTTAAATGTACCATTAAACAAATAAATATATATACTAATAAATTATTGATTTAAATGAAAAAAATTTAATTTTTTTAAAATAAATTCTTGAATTTAAAT